GCAGTGGCGAGGGACAGTGGTGGGGACAGTGGGACAGTGGTGGGGACTGCAGTGGTGGGGACAGTGGTGAGGACAATGGTGGGAACAGTGGGGACAGTGGACAGTGGTGGGGACGGCGGTGGTGGGGACAGTGGTGCGGGGACGGGGAGGTGGAAACAGTGGGACAGTGGAGGGTACAGTGGTGGTGGGGGCAGTGGTGAAGGCGGTGGCGAGGATGGTGGTGGGACAATGGGATAGAGGTACAGTGGGGACAATGGTGGGGACAGGGGACAGTGGTGGGAACAGTGGGACAGCTTCAGTGGGACAGCGGAGGAGTCAGTGGGACACTGGGGACAGTGGGGATAGTCGGGCAGTGGTTGGGGCCGTGGAGAAAGTGGGGAGAGTGGAACCGTGGTGGGAACAGTGGTGGGGACAGTGGGGACAGGGCGACAGTGGCGCCCAGCAGTAGTCTTTCCCAAGGGATTGTCGGCAACCTCATGGAATAGAGCTCCCCCGCGCAGGCGAAGGCCATCATTCCCGCCAGTCGCGCCTCCGTGCCCCTTGCAGCTGCGATGTCTCCCGCGTTCTTCGCCGCCAAAAAGTTGCTTGAGACATCCCAGTATCATGGCGAATTTTTCTGCATGGAGAAGCAAGAGCGTCTGGACCAACTCCGCGATGTTTCACATGATTGAGAACAATAATATGACCACTGCCACCCCGACGGTGCCAGCATTCGGCGCGCCGAGATTCCAGGCTTCTACTGAATCCGCCCTCCGTGAGCTCGCCCCGCTTCCGCTGCGCAGCACTCCTAGCCCGTCGCCTCGCGAAATTTGGCACCGCTCCGACCCCCCGCCAACTCGACCTGATGTATATGCTTGATCGGATCGGGGAGCATACTGCTTCTTGCATGTCTTCCTGTTATCCCAGGACCTCGCGTAGTGCGCGGGTGCACGACAGGTCCATTCAGGGGTCCCGCAGAAGTGTGCCGCTTCTGCGGAGTGGAGTTGGGTGACAGCATGTTACATATCCTGGTATGTTCCTGCTCTTCGCCTCTCTTTGCTGACCTTGGGTTCACCTCTCATCGTGATTTGAAGCGCTGGCCACACGTCGCCCCGCAGAGAGCGGGCTTGACTGCGACGCCCGAGCACGGCTTGTGCGACTCCGCAGGCGTGCCCCCGCCATGCCGTTAGAGGCGATTGGGAGTTGACTGTCGTCCGCCGTCGTCGGTCGTCCCCTCGGGCTGTGTACTCCTCCGCCTCCTCCGCGTTCTCGTCCTCCTCCACTTGTTTCTTCCCTTCTCCGAAGGCCAAAATAGCAGGTCATCAAAGCCTGGCTTGACATCTTCTGGCAATTTTGGTGTGTACGAAGGAGTCCCTGAATACAACCAGACACAGTGTATTTTTGCATTCGAGAAGTACGCGTGGTGTTTTCGCACAGTAAGGAACAGAAGCGTCGTTCGTGACAGCGTCGGCCTGCCCCGTGTGGTTGTGGCAGGTTCCGACGGGGATAACTAAACACACGCCGAAACGCTGGAGACGGACTGGGTCAGGGGTGCCCGAAAGAGTGGGCATACTCAGTCCTAGACCAGAAAGGTGACCAAAGCAAGCTGCGCAGACAACTGCTTTTCGGCGATCCTGGCGCGGCATACCCGTTGCCAGGCCGGCTTGGGGCGGGTCTGCAAATAATGCCTTGTATGTCTACTAATATGGATATGTTTGGCACGTGACTGGTTATCAACCGAAAGTCTCACCAGGAGCTCGTCTTCGGTGGTGCGGCCTTTTTCCCAGCAGTCAGAGAGGTAGCAGTGGCGGTTTTACCAAAATGGGGGCTTCGCATGTGCTCTGATTGCCCACGAGCGCCTAACGCAGGGGTCGGGTGGCTCACACCATTGGGCCGTGGTTAGCGTCCGGTCGAGGACGAGGGGGCAATCGCCCGGCTTAGTTGCGGTTGCCGGTGGTGTCACGAAAGAGGGGGCAGTAGTTTCTTCCTTTCTTCGAAGGCCAAAACAGCAGGTTCTCAGAACCTGGCTTGACATCTTCTGGCAATTTTGGTGTGCACGAAGGAGTCCCAGAATACAGCCAGACACAGTGCATCTTTGCATTCAAGAAGTACGCGTGGTGTTTTCGCACAGTCGGAACAGAGGCGTCGTTCGTGAAAGCGTCGGCCTGCCTGGTTAGGTTGGTTGTGGCAGGTCCCGACGGGGATAGCCAACCACACGCCGAAACCCTGGCGACGGACTGGGCCAGGGGTGCCCGAAAGAGTGGGCATTGTCAGTCCTAGACCAGACAGGTGACCAAAGGAACTTGCGCATACAACTGCTTTTCGGCGGCCCTGGCGCGGCATACCCGTTGCCAGGCGAGCCTGAGGCGGGTGTACAAATAATGCCTTGTATATTGCACTAATATGAATACGCTTGGCAAATGACTCCTCATCCTCCTCCTGCTCCTTCTCTCCTTTTTCGTCGACCCCTCTCCCATTTCAAATTCCCCCCCCCTGTCGGGCCACTAAACGGGTCCGTAGGTTGGACCGGGCGTTTCGGTTGAGCCCAACAGAAGGGTTGAGGGCCAACCGTTTTTCGCAAGACGGTCTTTGCTTCGAGGTATCTCTTGATGTTTTCGCAAATCGTATGACCAGAACTATGAAATTGTGGGACGTGTTCACGGATGGAGGGCAGATCTTCTTCTAAACCTTGTTATCTTTGGATGTTCGTCGAAGTTTTTCATTTTGTTTCTTTGCGTTGCTTGTAGCGAGAAGACTGACATTGTATCGCCCGGGTGGCAGGATCACCGGGCGTTCGTCATTAGGGGGGCGCTTCGCGCAGTGGAAATGCAGATTGGGGAGGGTTTGCGGCCAGTGCCACCGACCCTATTGGGGGATGACGACGACGCTGACGCTCCGGAACCTTTTTCTCGGGGGCCCTATGGGAGCAAATTGACTAATGGGCTCTGTTGGGATGCCTCTTGGGGGACTTTTGTGGACGCTCCGTGGTCGCTTGGAGCCGCTTCGGGGCGGATCTGGGTCCTTCTGGAGACATGTGGGGACATACGCAACACCCCGCAACAACAGACAAACGTGAGGAGGGGGCCGGGAGTTTTGGCTCAAGTAACCGTTCTGGTCAAAGTTATGGCTCAAGTGGCCGTCTTGTCTCATACGTCTCGTTAGTGAACACTTTTTCTTGGCCAGTGCAAGGTTGACAGCAACTAGCGAAGGCAAAATGGAACCTATGAGATCTATGGATGGGTCAATTCGCAAGTCGGAGGGGAGTAGTGGCAGTTCCCCTGACGATAGAAACGTCGAAGAGCGCCGAATTGACACAAAAACAGAAAGTGCATAAGATGTTTGACATAATGACTGGTTTGCTGACTACCATGCAACATGCAAACCATTGCAATGCTAGCGTCGGCAGCATCCGAAGAAACATCGGGTGACGTCAACCACATCAAACAAGATATGGAATCTATACTGAAGAAATATGGGGAGCTCGAGCACAGCATCAAAGAGCTTCGCGACTCATTTACAAACACCAGCCCCCCGCGTTTAGAGTCGCGCCTCGCCCCACGTGGTCTCGCTCCATGGTAGCCTCGTTCTTCGCCTTCCTGCCTGATCTCGCCCTGCTTGGCCGACGGAAACGGGCGGCAGCCTGAGCTGCCCGATTGTCTGAGGCCCTCGTGTGCCGAGGCCTCGCCCGCCCGCGAGCCCGCGGGCGGCCAGCTCTGTCCTTGACTTTTCTGTGTCTGCCGGCCGCTGGCCCGCTCAACCGGCCAGCCACAGCGGGCATCCAGGATGCCCGCTGAGGCCAGCCGGTCGAGCAGGTCTTCTTCGGATCCTTGGCACCCTCGCTTCGCCTCCTCGGGCGCAGACTTGACTGACAGCAGGGGGTGCCGCATCCTTCCTGCAGGTTTGCACTCGAGTGGTGGGGCGAGGATCCCCCATGGTTCGGCCCACGCTTGGCTGACGCTGGGCTTCTCGCTCGGTGCGCGGCGCCCGCGTGCCCTGGATGGGCCCCTGGTCGGGGGGCCCATCCAGGGCACGAGGCAGGGCAATCTTGCTCTTTTTGCGCGCCCCCTCCAGTCGTGGGGATGATCGCAAGACCTTACGCAGACGAGACGGTCGGCTTCGCAGCTGGGGCTTTGGGACTGTCTAAATTTCTCCAAAGGTATCTGTGACTCCCCACGTTTGTGCTGGTCCACCAAAACGTGTCCCGCGGACCTCTCAACCCCTTTCTGGGGCCAGGTTTTCATCCAGGGCAGCGTTTGGCGGTGTTGTTGGCCCGAAGCGGACTTCTTGACGCGGAGATTGGCGACAAGTTTCCGCCTCGATCTATTCGGGATGTTGGAGGTCTGAAGTCTGGGTCCATTTCGGGTTGGGGGTTCAACATCGGCCCCCTGACCTGTCCAGGGGTCTTTTCTGGCCAGAATTCGGAGGCGGATCCAGCCGTAGCCAAGTGTGCGCCCCAGGACGCTCAAGAATGGGCCAGAAAAGTCCAATCTAAATTAGTAGTCTAGTCCTCATGATCCTTCGAAGGAGGCATCAGTGAGGCTAGAGACGCTGCATTCGAGTCCGGCTCGTCGAGGTCGCTGCGTGCGGGCGTGGCTTGTGTTGCTTATGACTGAGCGCGTCTGACGGTGGGTTTCAAAGGGAGCCTATTCAGAATCCAGATTGTAGTATCGAGGCCGAGGCTCTGGCCGATCTTTCAGAGGATTCTATGAGCACTAGGGTGCAGCTCCTGTGAGGTTGAGTTTAGAGCTGGCGCCATTCTAGTTGTGTTCAGAATCTGTCTTAGTGCCGCTCAATGCAGTCTGCTCCTGTTGAACCTGGCGCAAAGCACGTTCATGGTTGGCTGAATAGCTGGCCTAATCTGGCCCAGCCGCCCCACAACGTGGCCTAGTGCATATAGTGATGCCCCAGCGTCCCCGCGAAGGGCACGGTCACTCGCTCACTCGCCCCTCGGGCCTCCGGCCTCTGGATGCCCGCGCGCCTCAGCTCGCCCGCCCCCCTTTGCCGGCCGGCCCCGCCGGCAGGCGGTGGAGCCGGAGGCCGCCGCGCCCGCGTACAACCCCCTCATGGACCCCGTGAGGGTGGAGATCGAGGAGCCACGCTCCGCCGGGGGCTCGGGGGCGGCCAGGAGGGGGCCGATGGCAAGGGGGGGGGAGGACATCATGGCCAGGGCCGCGGTGTCTCCCTGGATTTCAGGGCTCTTTCCCATCCTTTCCGCGTCCCTTGGCCCCCCCTCGTCCGCGCACATGCCTTGGGCCATGACTTGCTGACCCCCCTCTTGGACGACCCACCCCCCTGGGGGGAGCAAGGGACGCCCCAGACCACGCCCGTAAACAGTGGTTCGTGGACCGTCCTTGCCCCGTTCGATTCCTCCATCCGACGCTTTCGCTACACACAATCCTCGGCTATTGGGGCGCTGGTTGGGCGGTTGGCACTTCGGGAAAGTCCGGGGACCCCCCCCGAGGGATCTCTCCAGGGGGACCTCTGGAGACCGAGGGGTCGCACTGAGCCTGCAATCGGTTGTCGTCGCCGCCCTTCCTCTCTCCTCCTCGTTCCCTTCCGCCCTCCGCCATGTCCTCCCCCTCTTCTCGGGTCGGGCGAAGGGGGAGGGGCCAGGGAAAGGCGGAGGTACGAAGTCTGCAACATGCAGCTGATTTCGGCCCCGCCGCCGGGCACAGTCTCCGGTACGTGGCCACGCCGGTCCTCCTCCCCAGCCTCCTCATCCCCCGCCTCCTCCTCGCCCTCACGCCCGCGCGAGGGGGAAGCTTCTATTCAGTGCGCCCCTGGGGTCCCCTCGGTCGATGAGTCATCAGACAGAGGGGTGGGGACGAGGAGCGTGGGCGGAGGAACTGATTGAGCGAACGGCACGACACACACGTCTTCGTTTCGGAAGTCTGAGCGGGTTTCTTGGATCCTTGATTTTGTTTCGGCTGTCCTTCCGTCGGCCTTGATGGTCTTCGGAGGTTCTTCCTCGTCTTCGGTATGTGTGTGCCTGTCTCGGACCCCTGGGCAGTCCGAAATCGGCCAAGTCGAGTCAAGACAAGCGGCCCGCCTGAGCACGCATGCTTGTGCCCAACGAATTTGGTGGGGTGAAACCGGGTGTGGAAACCGTAGCGTGCAAGAAAATCAAGCTAGATCGATTCGGTCAGGGTCGCGAGTTTGAGAGTATTGAAGGGTCGGATGGGGGACGAGGGGGATCGAGTTTTTGGGGGCGTCTTTGGTCTTTGTTGGGCCTCCTGAGGACATCTGAGGGCCCCCAGGGATTTCTGGAGGCTTCGTTTCTACATGCCTCGTGTGCCCCAGCGGGCAGCTCATCTAGCGACGGGTGCGTCTCGCTCATGCTCATTCGTTGAGTGGTCTGGCCCTGCCTGGCGTGATTTGTGGTGTCTCCAGCATGGGCAGGCGTACTTGGTGTAATGCTTGCAGATGTGGTGTTGACGGTGTTGATGGTTGCGGACGCTCGATTGTTGGACTTGCGCGGCCTGATCTCATTTGGTTGCGGACATCCGGGCGTGTGGAATCGGCAATCCAAAGGAGCGCAGTTGTTCAACGGGCTCTGTCTCCCTCCGCTCCACCCGCTTTCGATGTCTTCGTCCTCCCTTGTATTTGAATGGCCTCCGGCCAGTGCCGCCGATCCGAGGCGCTCCAGATGCTGGTGGTTGACACGACGGCGACGACGACGACGACGATGACGACCTCGACGCCGACAACGGACAACTTACGACTACCGGGAGGAGGGAGGCGGGAGGCGGGAGGAGGGGGAGGGAGCAGGGAGGAGAGAGGAGGGAGGAGGGAGGAGGGAGGATGGATGGATGGGGAAGAGGCGGAGGATGAGGAGGAGGACGACGAGGAGGAGGAGATGGCAGAGGAGCAGGAAGACCAGGATGAGGAGGGAGGAGGGAGGCGGAAGATGATGACGAGGATGAGGGTGAGGATGAGGACGAGGATGAGGACTAGATGATGGTGATGCTAATGATGATGCTGGTGATGATGTTGATGCTGATGCTGATGCTGATGCTGATGCTGATGCTGATGCTGATTATGATGCTGATGATGACGCTGATGCTGATGCTGATGCTGATGCTGATGCTGATGAGTATGATGGTGGTGGTGGTGTTGATGATGATGTTGCTGATGATGATGATGATGACGATGATGATGATGATGCTGCTGATGATGATGGTGGTGGTGGTGGTGCGGAGGAGGAGGAGCAAGGAATAATATGATGACAGGGATGATCATGATGATGGTGTTGATGATGATGGTGATGATGATACTGAGGATGATGATCATACTGAGGCTGCTGATGCTGATGATGACGATGCTGATGCTGATGCTGATGATGATGATGATGATGATGATGATGAGGATGAGGATGAGGCTGATGCTGATGCTGATGATGATGATGATGCTGATGATGATGATGCTGATGATGATGATGATGCTGGTGATGCTGATGACGGTGATGATGATGATGACGATGATGACGATGATGATGATGATGATGATGATGATGATGATGATGATGATGATGATGATGATGATGATGATGATGATGATGATGACGACGGGGAGGAGGAGGAGGAGGAGGAGGAGGATGAGGAGGAGGAGGAGGAGGAGGAGGAGGAGGAGGAGGACGAGGCGGAGGAGGACGAGGACGAGGACCGAGCCCGCGGCTGGGGTCGGGGACCGGGGGCGAGGCCGGGACTGGGAGCGGGGCCGGGGCTGGAGCTCGGGCGGGGCGCGGGTCCGCGGTTGGGGCCGGGGCCGCGGTCTGGGGTCGGGGCTGGAACCGGGACCGGAGCTGGTACCGGAACTCGGGAGCATTGAGACGGGGGTCAATGCAAACGGGGGTCAGCCAGGGCGCCAGATCCTGCAGGATCCTGCGAATACCCCCTCTGGCCGACCCGGGTTTGGGAGCCGCTCGTGGCCGCGAGGCGGCCGCGCATATTGGCTGACCCGGGTTTGCGAAGACCTGCGTTGCAGTTTTTTTTTTCCTGCATTGCAGTTTTTGGTTTCCTGCTGACCCGGGTCTGGATTGACCCGGGTCAGAAGATCCCCGAGGAACCGGGGCCAACGCTGGGGCCATGCAGGGCCAGGAGCAGGGCGGGGCCGGAGCCGAGGCCAGGGCCGGGACTGGGGCCGGGGCCCGGGCCGGGGCGATCCCTCCCCCATGTTTGCGCTCAGCGAATTTTAAGTCAAGTCGGGAAGGAGTCGGAGACAGCGTCCCCCTGCAGAGCGAGGCTCGAGCGACTTCAGGCCCACGCTTTCAGAAACTCACACGCTGGATCGGCGGACCTTGGGTTTCTTACTGCGTTTCCTTTCCTCCTTTTTGTTGTTCTGCGTGTCTTCAGTGTGAGCTTCCCACTATGCCACCCGTGCGTCCACATGGCGCAGTCCGCGGGCAGGCTGGCCTACGAACTTTCCGTGGTGGCGGGCACGGAAGGGCGAATCCGAGCAAGAGGAGGAGGAGCAGCAGCAGGAGCTCACCACCCACCAAACCACCCCAACCCAACCCGAAGGCCCGAATTTGCCCTCCATTTCCAGTTGGGGGGGGGTCGGGGAACGTCGAGAAAACACACATGAAGCCCGTACCCCCCCCAACCCGAAATTCGGGTCTTCGGGTTGGGTTGGGGTGGTTTGGTAGGTAGGCAGGAGCACTCTTTCTGGTGACCTCTGGGGAGCGTTTGAGTTGCCAGGTGGGAACCTTTGTGGGAGTTTTGTGGATGCCTCCGAGACCCTCTTGAGAGCGTCTCGGGGGCATTTTGGGCAGTCTAATGTCAGGAGGGGAAAAAACACACAGACACAATTAATCGTCGATTCCCAGGAAAATATGGGAAAATATGGGAAGTGGGGGGGAAGACAGAAACCCAGAAAATATTGGAAAATATGGGGAATATTTTTATTTGTGTGTATTTATTTGTGTGTCCTGGGGCCCCTTCAGAGGAGGAGGAGCAGCAGCAGGAGCACTCTTTTGGGTGACCTCTGGGGAGCGTTTGAGCTGCCAGGTGGGAACCTTTGTGGGAGTTTTGGGATGCCTCCGAGACCCTCTTGAGAGCGTCTCGGGGGCATTCTGGGCAGTCTAATGTCAGGAGGGGAAAAAACACACAGACACAATTAATCGTCGATTCCCAGGAAAATATGGGAAAATATGGGAAGTGGGGGGGAAGACAGAAACCCAGAAAATATGGGAAAATATGGGGAATATTTTTATTTGTGTGTATTTATTTGTGTGTTTGTGGGCCTCTTCATAATGAGCCTGCTGGAACCCACCTCATGCCTTCTGTATCGGCTGGACCCAGAAGTGCTCGTACTATGTCTGCGTCGCCTCCACAGGAGCGACCCGCACACTGAAGATCACCTGGCAGCAGAAGCGCCGTGGCGGGCGTGGTCTGGCCATGCCGCTTGGACAGCAGCTCAGTACAGCGTGTGTTTGTACAGAGCGTGGTGGTCGGACGTTCGCCCCACAGGTTGGGCGCACAGTGTTATCCATGTCCTTCTGCGCCCCATCTTGGGCCGCCTCGGGGGTCTCTGGGAAGGGGGGTCGGGGGTGGACAGAACCCCCAACAGTGACACATCGATTAGTGAATTGTCCGTTTTCGGTTCTCGACATGGCGCCGTGGCCGTTATTTTCCAGGCTTGCGCCCGCCAGGTTTGGACCTCAGGTTGTTTTCACTAAACCACGTTTTACTAAAGGGGGGTCTGTCCATCCCCGAGGGGGGCAGGCGGTGCCGGAACGCCTCGGCCCTTCTGGGGTGAGTTCCTCGGGGGCCGAGGGGGGCGCCCAGAGCGCCGTGTTTGATCATGCCCACTGCGCCCCCTCGGAAAGCAAGAACATCGAAGGATCCTAGAAGGCTCGAAAGAGCGTCGGTCCTCCCCCGCCCCGTCCTTCGATATCGATTGCGTCCAGCTCGATTCGATTCGATTCCGCATTTCCGAGGTTTCGATGCGGCCCGATGTTTGCAAGGCGCAATTTTACATCTTGGCGCGGCCGATCCGATTTGACTCCGACCTTGTTCCCTAGCGGCCCGATTCGATGCACATCGACATCCGATCCTATCTCCTGATCCGATGCTGGAAAGTCCCCCCCGTCTGAGGTTACCAGGCTACCTGAAAGCGTCGGACGCTGCACGATTGTTATTTGCAGAGCGGGGGTGCGCCCCCTGGTGCACGAGCCTCGTCCTCATTGTCCTTCTCGTCCAGAAGATCGAAGATCGAGGAGGGAGGCACCTCTTTTGTGTGCCCTCCCGCTCATATCATTCGTTGACGGCTGGCGGAAGCCAGGAGTTCCAGGCCAGCTATAGCAGCAAAAACAGGGATCGAGCAGGGTGCAAGGTATCGAGGATCGAGGAGGTTCTGGGCGCCAGTTGGCGTCTTTGGAGGGGGGAGTAAGCTTTGGCGGCCGGGCGCACGCCCGCACCCTCAGGAGCGGATAGTGGCAGAGCTCAGCTTGGAGGGTGGCATGGAGGGCGAGGCGCGGACGGGGTCTCTCTTCGGGGGGGAGGGAGGGGAGGGGCAACGTTTCTGTTGGGCGGATGATCCCAGGGGAACGCGTCGGTTTCGAATTGCCTGATAGCCCATGTGTCCCAGGAACATTCGGTTTCGCGATCGAGGGTCTACCCCACCCCCTGAGCCAGTCCCCCCCCCCTCTCGTTCCCCCTCAGGGAGGACGATGAGAAGGATTGTTGTTCAACAGGCACAGTGAATGAGCAAAGGAACGCGAACTGCACGGGCACGCCGAGGGCGATGAAGGTGAAGTACTTGCATCAACACAGCGATCAATATTAGCCAGCGTGGACCCCAAACAGTGAGTCATTGAACTGTGCAGGTTTCAGATCTGTGGAGTACGCTTTTTGCTGTTAGCTATGCTGTGCGAGCTATTCACAGAGTACGCCATTTGGCATTGGCTACACTGTGCAAGGTGTGCGGTGTGAGCCGTGTGGTGTCAGCTACGCTGTGCAAGCAATGCGCCGTGAGCTCTTCTGCGTGAGCTCAGCTGCGTGGGCTGTGTGGCGTGAGCTGTGTCGTGCATGTTGCTCGAGAGCTCTGCTGCGCAAGCGGCGTGACCCACACGGCACGGCGCGCCCACGAGGCGCCCACGCGCTGGCACCGGGCGAAACCCCGGCGGACCCACCCGGGGCAGGGGGGCGCCAGCGAGGCGCCCGCGGGCGGGCACGGAGACCGCCAGCACCGTGCAGGCGCCCAGGGTGCGGGGCGCCCAGGAGGCGCACTCGGCCGGGCACGGGGCGCCATCGAGTCGGGCCGGGCGAAAGGGGGGGATTGGGAAAGGAGGGGTTACGAAATCTGCTGCATGCAGCTGGTTTCGGCCTCACCGAGGGGCCCATTCCTCGATGCATGGCCGCCTCCGGCGCCGGGAGGCGCCGGGAAAATCAGCTGCGTGAGCTGATTCTCAAACCCCCCCCTCCTCCTCCTCCTCCTCCTCCTCCTCCTCCTCCTCCTCCTCCTCCTCCTCCTCCTCCTCCTCCTCCTCCTCCTCCTCCTCCTCCTCCTCCTCCTCCTCCTCCTCCTCCCCTTTCGCCCGGCCCGACTCGATGGCGGGCGTTCGGCGGGCCCGCCCATGGCACGGGGCGCCCATGAGGTGGCCCATGTGTCATCACCCACCAAACCAGGAGGAGGAGGAGCAGGAGGAGGGGGAGGAGGAGGAGGAGGAGGAGGAGGAGGAGGAGGAGGAGGAGGAGGAGGAGATGTGCTGCCACCACTCGGGGCTGCCCCCCTCACCACCCAAACCACCCCAACCCAATTCATCGGCGACTCCCCAGAAAATATAGGAAAATATGGGAAGCGGAGGGAAGACAAAACCCAGAACATATGGGAAAGCATGGGGAACCTTTTCATTTGTGTATTTCTCTGTGTGTCCCAGGGCCCCCTTTATAAAAACTGCCCTGTAGGCTCTCAGGCCAGGATCCCCTCCGAAGCGCCCCAGCCGCCGTTCTCCACCCACCAAACCACCCCAACCCAACCCGAAGCCTCAGATTTGCCCTCGATTTCTAGTGGGGGGGGGTCGGGAAACATCGAGAAAACACATGTGGAACCCTTACCCCCCCCCCCACCCGAAATTCGGGTCTTCGGGTTGGGTTGGGGTGGTTTGGTAGGTGGTCACATGAGGTGGCCCATGTGTGGGCACCAGAGTGTCTTCTGTCAGTGGAACTCGTAACGTCTGTGACGGGGGGGGGGTCCCCCGTAACGGTAGCGAGCGTATGCGCGGGTTGCCCGCTTCCCCTCAGGTATGGTACTCTGTGTCCCTCAATAGTTTTGGGGGTACCTGTAGTCCGGGGGGGGGTACCTAAAGTCCGGGGGGGGTACTTGTAGTCCAGGGAGGGGTACCTGTAGTCTGGGGGGGGTACTTGTAGTCGGGGGGGGGGGGTACCTGTAGTCCGGGGGGGGAGTACCTGTAGTCCGGGGGGGGGCGCGCATGGGGGTACTTGTAGTCCGGGGGGGGGAGGGGCATATGGTCATGCCTCTAAGCACGCGTGGTTCCACGCACGCGGGTGTTTAGTACTTACGCGCGCGGGACCTCACGCGCATCGTTGCACGCGACACGCCCGCGCGCACGCGCGCATGCACGCACAGACTCACACGCACGCGCGCACGCGCGCACGCAACCGCACGGAACCGCACACACGCACACGCAAGCACACACGCACGCACACGCGCGCACGCACAGACACTCTGTATCATGACAGTGCTGAGCCCCGACCGCTGGCCCAACGATGACGAATTTCTTAGCACGCCTAAGTGAACATGTGCGGACGCATCTTGGCGGGCCGCTTTGGCTTCCAGAGACTACGTAGCGAACGCGGGGGGGCTTGTAGTTCCGGGGGCCAGGGGGGTACCTGTAGTCCGGGGGGGGTACCTGTAGTCCGGGGGAGGGGTACCTGTAGTCCGGGGGGGGGTACCTGTAGTCCGGGGGGGGGGTACCTGTAGTCCGGGGGGGGGGTACCTGTAGTCCGGGGGAGGGGTACTTGTAGTCCGGGGGGTACTTGTAGTCCGGGGCCCCAAAACTATTGAGGGACACAGAGTACTATGTTCGCAGGCGCGCCGTGGTGCTGACAGGCATGACTTGGTGCTCGCCAGCATGCTGTGGTTGTCGCAAGCATCCAGCTTGCCCGGAATGCAGAACGCCGGGAATGCGGTGTTGCCGTTGCTGCTCCTGCTGCTGCTGTTGCTGCTGTTGTTGCTGGTGGTCCGGTGCTCCTTTTGCTTTTTCTCCGGTGTTCCACCTCCTCCGGTGCTCTTCTTGCTGGTCCTGCTGCTTCTCCTCTTGCTATGGTTCTTAGCTTATGCTCATCCGGCTGATCGTGCTGTTGCTCCTCCTGCCTCTGCTGCTGCTCCTCTGGCTGCTCCTCCTGGTGCCCCTCTTGCTGCGCCCGTTGCTGGTCCTCTTGCTGCTCCTCATGCTGCTGTTATTGCTGTGCTCACGGGCGTGCTGTGGTGTTGGCAGGCATGATGTCGTGTTCACAAGCATATTGTGGCGCAGCCACATTGCGCAAATCTATAGCGCGCCTTGCGGGCGCAACCCAAGGGCGTAACCTCTTGGCGCTGGTCCTTGCGCCTTCAAAGTGCAGCAATTCGCTGATTGGGACCTTCAGAGGACAAGCGTTTGTTATTACTGGTGGCATGCATTACCGCGGCCACTGCCGTCCTGTGACGAGGCGCAGACATATCTGCTGCCCCTGGCCAGGCCCGTGCTATATGCCCCTTTGGTTCAAGCAGGAGGCGCGCGCATTGGTCCTGGGCACAACGTGGGCTGATCCAAGGGCTCCAGGTCCGCATAGACGTTGTCGCCCCGCGGCGCTGCCATTGCCATGCCCCCCGCCGCCGCAGCTGAAATGGCGCCCGCATGCATTCCATAGGCCGACGGCTACCCCGCAGGCCTCAAAACAGGCACGGGCCGGCCCCTCAACACGCGGCGTGATGGTCACAACCGCGCTGCGCTGCTCGCAGACGCACAGTGTGCGCACTACGGTGTGTTCTAGCGTATCGTGGTATTCACAGGCGCACTGTGGTGCTGGCAGTTTTTCACCCACCACTTTTTGAACAACAGCCAACCAAGTTTTACTTGAACTATTGTTAGTATTCGTGTTACTGGCATTATTACTACTACTTCTTCTCCTTCTTCTACAACTACATGTACTATTACTAGTCCTACTAGTCCTACTAGTACTGCCAGTACTACTACGACTACTACTACTACTACTACTACTACTACTACTACTACTACTACTACTACTACTACTATACTACTACTACTACTAGTACCACTACTAGTACTACTACTACGACTACTACGACTACGACTACTACTACTACTACTACTACTACTACTACTACTACTACTACTACTACTACTACTACTACTACTACTACTACTACTACTACTACTACTACTACTACTACTACTACTACTACTACTACTACTACTACTACTACTACTACTACTACTACTACTACTACTACTACTACTACTACTACTACTACTACTACTACTACTACTACTACTACTACTACTACTACTACTACTACTACTACTACTACTACTATTAATGCTACTACTACTACTACTACTACAACTTCTTCTACTACTACTACTACTACTACTACTACTACTACTACCACTACTACTACTACTACTACTACTACTACGACTACTACTACTACTACTACTACTACTACTACTACGACTACTACTACTACTTACGCAGGACGAAAGATTTTCCTCTTGAGGAGAAAATGGCCATGAGGATTTCGCGAGACAACGTCGGCGCCGCCGAACGGACGGCGACCAGACGAGCTGTTGACAGCAACCGGGGTGAGAGGGATGTATGTATTCATGTTGAATGGGGCCCGCTCGCGCGGGGAGTTGATGGGAGTGCGCGAGACGGTGCAGCGCCCATCGTGAAAAGTTAGCAACCGAACCCCCCTTCCTCTGTAGAATCTTAACACGGGCGGTTGGCGGGGTCCGCGGATCCAATTTCTTCCGGCTCCCTGCTTTAACCAGGGTAGAAATCGGATCCGCCGTGAACCGAACGCGGATCCAACAAATCCGAAATCGGATCCGCGCGGACGGAAATTGGATCCACTGAAACACAAACCAAAACCACAATAGGATCCGCGCAAACTTGATTGGATCCGACGGCGGGTATTTCACACGCCTCTGCTTTAGACTTCAATATTTTGCTCCGGGCCCAAAAGGAAAACATCGTCCTGGGGATGTATTACTGCTACTACTACAACTACTACTACTACCACTGTTACTACTACTACTACCACTATTACTACTACTACTACTACTACTACTATTACTACTACTACTACTACTACTACTACTACTACTACTACTACTACTACGACTACTACTACTACTACTACTACTACTACTACTACTACCATAACGACTACGGATACGACTCCGACTACTACTACGACTACTACTACCACGACTACGATTTTATT